ACAAAGTAAGGAAAGCAATCCCAAATGCTTTCATTTACTTAAAATTATTTGGCAGAGAATTCGACACTTTAATGAAGGTCTGGGCCTGGCTGGGGCGATGGCACGCGTGCCCACAGAGAGGGCTCTTGAGTGCCACCTCTGGCCCCCGTGCCATAGGTTCGCCACCACTGGCCTAGAGCATCCCTGACAAGGGTTTGTCCAGCCGCCGCTTAAAGACTGACAGGGCGGAGGAGCTCACCACCTCCCGAGGCAGCCGATTCCACTGTGGCACAACCCTAACTGTCAAAAAGTCCTTCCTAATATCCAGCTGGAACCTGCCCACCCTTAATTTAAACCCGTGGCTGCAGCCCTACCCTCTGCTGCGCACACGAACAGCTCCCTGCCCTCCTCCAAGGGGACAGCCCTTCAGGTACTTCAAGAGACCCAGCCTGTCCCTCCTCAACCTCCTCTTCTCCAGACTGAACATCCCCAAGTCCCTCAGCCTTTCCTCATGGGGCTTGGTTTCCAGGCCCCCGATCATCCCCGTCGCTCTCCTCTGCACCCCGCTCCACTCTGTCCACCTCCTTTTTGAAGTGAGGCCTCCAGAACTGCACACAGCACTCCCGGTGCGGCCTGACCAACGCAGTGTATGGCGGGACGATGACGTCTTGCGATCAGCCTGCCTCTGCGCCCCAGCCCTGGTATTCATTGAAGGTCTCCCTTCTAAGTCTTTGCCAGAGTCGGCCATACTCAGCTTCTGAGATCTAATGAGATCGGGCTTGCCTGGACTATCCAGGTCAGGGCTATATACAGGACTTCTTGAATCCCAATGTGCTGCTTCATCTACCTTATCTAGACAGTCTTTACAACGGCCCTGTAAGGTGGGTCCGGTGACATGATTGCCACATTAGGGAGCACAGAGAAGTGGGGCTTGCCTGAGGCTGCCGAGTGAATGTATGCGAGATGCGAGGTTTGAGCGAGGAACCATCTGGGTTTCTGTTCAGTCTCCCCTCCGCTAGCCTTGCCTCTTTGTAAAGCGATGCTGGTGGGAACCGCCGTCGAGACGCAGCCGACACGTGGCGACCCCCTAGGGTTTTCGGGGCAAGAGGCGTTCAGAGGTGATTTGCCATCGCCTGCCTCCGCGTAGCAACCCTGGACTTCCTCGGGGGGGTGTCTCCCATCCAAGTACTAACCAGGGCCGACCCTGCTTAGCTCCCGAGATCCGACGAGAATGGGCTAGCCGGGGCCTCTGTAACGTGGCGCTTGTTTTTCTCTGGATTAGGGTCACCTGCTTTCTTACCTGCCTTGCGTCGATGAATCTGAGCTTAAGTGATCTGTGAACGGGGCGACGGCGTTCAGTTGGATTAACTTTTAGAGGGAAAGATCTTACGCAGGGCTGTTTTGGGGCAGGAACGCACAGGGACGGAGTTCCGGCTGGCTTCGGAGTTGACCACGCCCACTACAGCCGAAACCTCTGCGTGCATGGCTACAGAGGGAAGGCCTGGAGAGTGAACCCCCCCCGGCGCGACTCCAAGGCGGGTGGGCTGGGGGCCGCTGGAAGGATCGGGGAGGCCTTGAAATGCCTCCCCATGCCTTCCATGGCGTGTCCAAGGGCTGGCTTGCCTGGGCTCCCTACAGCCAGGGGGCACCCAGGCAAGCCAAGGGAAGGCACTGGGTGTGGCCTAATATGCTAATGAGCTGTCCTGTCCTGGGTGTGGCCTAATATGCTAATGAGTTTCTGCTGTTGGGTGTGGCCTATTATGCTAATGAGTTCCTGCTGGGCTTTTTCTATAAAAAAAAAAGCCCTGATCTTACGCATAAAAATCCGTCTGTGATTGAGCGGAATTATTTTTAAGGCAAGCGTTCCAAATAATCAGTGGGCCGCTGGCTCCTTCTCCGGAGAGGCATTTCTCCTTCTGCCGCACCTGCAACGGAGCATCTCTTCCGACGTGGTCCTTGCAGTGACACCCAAGAGCGGCATCTAAGTTCCAAGAGAATGCTTTAGAACTAGGCTGTGGGGGCCGCGGTGGCTCGGAGGTTAAGATGCTTAGCTGCAGACCAGAAGGTCTGTAATTCAGCAGTTCGAGACCTGAGTGCCGCGTGACGGAGTGAGCGCCCGTCTCTGGCCCCGGCTCCTGCCAACCTAGCAGTTTGAAAGCAAGAAATTGCAAGGAGATAAATAGGTAGCGCTTCGGTGGGAAGGAAGCAGCGTTCTGTGCGCCTCAGTGCTTAGTCATGCCGGCCACGTGACCACGGAGAAGTCTCCGGACAGCGCTGGCTCTTCGGCTTGGAAACTGAGATGAGCACCACCCCCTGGAGTTGGATTCAACTGGGTTTCGAGCAAGGGAAACCTTTTTATGATTCCTGCAACCAGAAAGCCAGAAGGAGATTGAGACTGGGAAGGGCGGCCAGGAAGGGGCTAGAAAAGGTCCTTAAGAGTAAAGATGTGCTGCTGGCAACCAAATTTTAGTTAATTCATGCCATAGTCTTCCCCATTAAGGAGCTGCGGTGGCTCAAGTGGTTAAGACGCTGAACTGCAGGCTGTGGAAGGTCAGTAGTTCAGCAGTTTGAGACGCGAGTGTGCCACATGACGGAGTGAGCTCCCGTCTCTGGTCCCAGCTCCTGCCAACCTAGCAGTTCGAAAGCAAGAAATGGCAAGTAGATAAATAGGTACCACTTCGGTGGGAAGGGAACAGCGTTCCGCGCGCCTTGGTGTTTAGTCATGCCGGCCACGTGACCACGGAAACGTCTTCGGACAGTGCTGGCTCTTTGGCTTGGAAACGGAGATGACAACCCTAGAGTCGGACTCGACTGGCTTTCGAGCAAGGGAAACCTTTACCTTCCCCATTACTATGTATGGGTGTGAAAGTTGGAATGATGAAGAAAGCTGACAGGAAGAAGGTTGATGCATTTGAAGCGCGGTGGTGGAGGAGACTATTGTGGATACCATGGGTCACTAAAAAGACAAACATGTGGGTTCTAGAGCAAGCCTGACCTCTCCCCTAGACGCTAAAATGACTAAACTGAGGCTCTCGTACTTTGAGAAGACAAGACTCCCTGGAAAAGACAAAATCGTGCTAGGAAAAGTGGAAGGCGGCAGGAAAAGAGGAAGTCCCAATGTTCCCTCTAAGCTGTGGAGTCTTGTGAGCAAAAATTCTACTTTGAGAGCTACTAGCATTAAAGTTGTGAGCGAGCGATTCGGCTGTTGCACAGATTATGTTGCTCCGGAGCCCTCCTTCCTGAGCGGAGACAAAAATGTGTGAGCCGGAGGCTCAAAAACTGTGAGCTGGCTCACACTAACTCAGCTTAGAGGGAACACCGGTCCCAACGTGAGACGGATTGATTCAATCGAGGAAGCCACAAAGGCCCCCTGTTTGCAAGCCCTGAGCAAGGCAGCGAATGGCAGGACGTTTCGGAGGACTTTAAATCCATAGATTCAGGTGGGTCGCCGTGTTGGTCCGAAGCAGCGGAACAAGGTTGGAGACCAGCAGCACCTTTAAGACCAATGAGGTTTTTATCCTGGGTTTAAGCCTCCGTGTGCGCTCGCG